ATCTAACTCCAGGTAACCTTTCTCGAGTTTATTTACACGGATTTCTGACCAGAGTAAATCGGTCAACGACTAAAGTTGTTACGAGACAACTGCGTTTGGGGAGACGCTCTTAGCGCTATTTATATCATTTTATTCTCTCGTTTTACGTTCAATAAACGACGAAGGTAAAACGATACAAAATAGTGCTAATGGCGTGTTCCCGAACGCATATAGTTTCTAAGAAGGCAGATAGCGCGTCTGAATAGGTGATTGCACATCCACCGTCCTACCTTCCGCTATCCGGATAGCTTCCAAGCTCCGCGTCGCGGCATTCGCGGCAGGCCGCATCGCATCAGGCAAGACTGCGACGCGCCCTTATCCACGACGCGGACACGTGCCGATGGAACGCCGCCAATATGAATCCGCAAGTTCGCAAGCTGGCATACGTATGCACGCACGCACGCACGCACGCACGCACGCACGCACTCCGCTTCTTTCCCCACTTGCTTTTCGTTCGCTGCGACTCCAAACTCGCTCTCGTCGTTACTTTATATTACTTTATATCGCTCGCGCGCTGCACGGAGGACGAGATGGCTCGCGCGAAGCGAGCGGGCGCACGCTCGCTTTCTGTGGACTGAGAGCGCTAAAGTTTGCGGCCGGTCTACGGCGGACTTTCCCTTTCTTTCGGCTCTTTGGAGACCGGCGGCGGCGCCGTGCCGCCCGGTGTAATACCGTGACGGGATCGGCCGCGTTAAAGTCGCCCGATTACTGTAACACACGAACGGCTGCACTGCGCTACGCCGCGGCCGCACCGTGCCCCGTCCCGCATGAAGAACGCACACGCTTGCACATCAACCCGATGGCATTGACAAGTTTCCCGCCGCTCGCGTCCCGTTTCCTCGGTTGTTGCTCAACGGACGTACGAACAAAGAACCTACCAGCTGGAAAGGAATGGCCGTTACAGAATGCAATATCGTTCTCGTTTGCCGGAACAACGATATAATTAAAAAGAATCAGTTCGAATGTTTTTGATCGTTGAAATTTTATAACGTTATTTTAAATGCATTTATTCGTAGCAACTGATTTTGCAGGAATGAAAGTATCAAGGCCCGAATTGCACCAACGTGATTTTGATTTTAAGCGAGACTTAAACTGCCTCTGTTTCTATCTCTCTTTCGGCTTTAATACGAGATGGATAGAGTTTTAAGTCTCGCTTAAAATCAAAGTAATGTTGGTGCAACCGTGCCTAAGTCTTTTTACTAGAACTGCTCGCGGTAACAACTGAGATGAGACATTGTTAAAGCAAAACAATTGACAAAATGCGCGATAATGCAGTATTGACGTAATAGCTCTCTTGTGATGAATTTTAGCAATGCCTAGTCAACGTTTTAGTTATGTCGATTTACTAGAATGAAGGCCGTTCTATTTACGTGAAATGTATTTAAAAATGATAATTTTTTTAATTTACGTCGTTCCGGCAAATGAGCGATATGAATAAACACAAAGACATTCGATGGGCAACTAACACGAAGCTTCATCCAATTTCTTCTATACAGAAAATTAGCGAGATACATTATCATTTTCTATAAAAAGAGAGAAGCGCAGTGAGAGATGAAGAAACAGTGTTGTAAGAGGCAAAAAGTTCTTTTTTTTTTCTTATAATTGCGGTCAAGGCTCTATGTGGCCTTCGGATAGATGCCTATGTCAAAATCTTATATGATAAATATCATTCCCATAACAATTTCTTAAAATATTAAATTATTTCTGCATAGTATTTGTGTTGAAGATTCAAAGACTGAATATAATCGCGAGTTCCTAATTAAATCTCCACATCTTCAATATGTTATTTAGAATATTATTTAATAAAAAAGTCTCTTCGCAATATTTCTAAAAATTGTCTACACACCGAAAAAAATGTATAGTCGGTTTCATCGGATTTTGGTTGAAAGTAAACGAATCGGAATTTTTTAGTTAAATCAACTAAAATTTAGAGATAACAGAAACTCTGATTGTGACATAATCAGAATCTTCTGATTCATTTATTTTCAACCAGATATTTTTCTCAGTATATCAGAATATCCAAATAATTTTTTCTTCGCGTATTATTAACCAAGTCTATCTCAGAGATGCAAACAAGTTCAAAAATATCGTACGAGAAACGATAACTATTTTATTTTTAAACAAGATTGTCCCAAGTTTACACTCTTCTCTAATATTTCCATATGTATATCGTGTAGAAGACATGACATGTAAAAGGCATAATACGTGTTTACGTATAATTATCATCTGGAATGCCGACGATAACACAAGCACGCCTTATACGGATGGAGGAAAAGTTTACAAAGAGGAACGAAAAAACTCTCTCGCGCATAAAAATGTTAGTTATCTGGTCGAATAATTCAATCGATAAATCTCGATTTCGGGAAACGCGAGAAAACGCATTTCACGATAATCCGAGCGATCTATATCCATATTTTCATCAATGTAGATTAATTTTAATCTCGGTTCAATTTGCTCTTCGTTTTTTCTAGTTCTAAAAATTAGAAAAAGATGAAAATATAGTGTGTTAAACCGAGATTAACGTTAAATTACATTGGTGGAAGCGGGCATTAATTGGCTTCAGGCGACCAATCGTGCGCGCCAACGCTCACTTTTGACAATCGAGGCAACGCGTCCGAGGTTCATCGCTCTTGCACAAAGATGACCTTCGAACGAGGCTTCGTTCGCTCGCTGATGATACGCGTAGTAATTGGGGCAGCACACCGTCCACTCAGCGACCGTATCTCATTCGTTGATTTTAAAAGTCTGTCATCACCGTGCATGTTACTTCGGTGTTAATTTACTAACCATCTTGCCTGTGCCATACATGACATATTTATTATAGTTAACCATCCCTTTGAAACGCGTTCCATTCGTATTCGTCTTTACTTACTCATAATTTATGAAATATAACAAGAAATTAAAAATAGACTCATCAAGTACAAAATATTCTTAAACTTAAAAAAAGAATTAATTAAAAATTATTATTGTCCTTTTAAACAATCTTAAAATCCAATACTGAATTTAACATTTAAATTGAATAGTAATTAGTCAATTAATAATTGATTTATACTATTGGTAATCTGATTTAACTTTCTTATTGACCTTATTGTAAACACAATACAATAAATATCTACGATATTGAATATATCGTGTCATCTGCTTGATTATTCTTGTCAGACATTTCGGATGCTGGTTCAGTCGGTCCATTGATGTATGTCGATAAAGTTACCTGGCGTACAAGTTCTTCGCAACCTACCATACCGATGCAGAATGTGCTGGCAGCGCGCCCTGTGCGGGAAATTTAGGAAGAGACACTCGCGTCATCTGTGACGATAAGTAACAAGTTTGTTATTCAAAGGTACTTTGATTGAATTCGACGATCATTTCCTGACATTTTTTGCATTTATATCGACTACACTCATTCCAATCTGATTAAAACTATGTTCTTTTTTATAATTTTGTATTACTTTGTATTTTGTGTCCCTTTTTATATCCATTAGTAACTGATGTATATAAATAAAAAATGATTTTACCGACGTGCTGATGAGAATATTTAACCACAAGACGCCCTGCTTATATACAACATATACAGCTTAATTTTAGAAATGTAAATTGATTATTAGAGACGTTTTAGAGAGAGAAGTTATTTCAATTCATGAAGATATCATTTACTGATCATGTTTGTGTGTCATATTACGGCGTTATTCGTCAAAGTTTTGGGAACACTAATTTTTCAGAAACGTCGTTGAATGGAACAGAAAGAATGTGACGTAGTGTGAATAGAATAAGATACTATATCGATTCGGTTGCAACGTGACCTAAATTAGGTTTAACTAAACTTTTCGCGTCTATATCGCGAATATTATTCCTGATCCATGAAGATAACGAGAGGACGATTAACGGGAGAGATTTCGACATTTGAGTTAGCTAACCTAAACTGCGCCTATGTGAAGGGCCACGTAATCTTAAATGGCGATCAAATAATTTCTCCATGAATGTTTTTAGAATGTACAATAGAAGTTCGAGCCGTGTGGAGCACCATAAGAAAAGAGAAAGATATGATCACGCACAAACTGCGTCATTAGAAAAACGACGTGAATGTTTCCACGACTATCCCGACCTTTCCGTGACTTTAATCTAGTTTGTAAAAAAAAATGTTAAATCTATTAAGAACTGTATCATAATCGAATTCTAAGAAACTTGAAAAAAGAAATCTGGAATCTCTCATGAAACTATTTTCTAATCTAATATACGCTATCTCCTCAAAAAAATATTAGGTGGCATGCCACGTGACGTGTATTTCTTTGTACTTTCATTGCTTCTTGCAAGTTCTACCTCCGCCATAGAACGTTATCGTAGAAGCGTTTATGCTATCCTGTTACACTATATCATGGATGTGTGCTTAAACAAGATCTACTCCTAGAAAATAGGAAACTAGAAATTTTTCTAATTGGAATTTCAAATGCGTAATTTGAAAAGAAGCTATCGAGGTTTATCATTAACCGCTCTACTACTCAGCGACGATTAAAAATAACAAATAAAATTTTATGCTTTGTAAAAGTCTAATCTATAAACACGAGAAAATCTCGGCAAGACAAAGTTTATTGTCGATTTAACTTATTGTTCATCTTTTTTTAATTTTAGAATTAGAAAAAGAACGAAGAGCACAAATTGAATCGAGATTAAAGTTAATCTACATTGATAGAAACGAACAAAAAATTTAATTAAATATATCAGTCTTAAAAAAAAAAAAAAAAAGAGTAAAAATACGATTAATATAATTCGATATTTCGTTAATATATCAATAAATAAATAAATATCTTAAAAAATATTTAATTGAAATAGTTTTTTCTTCGAGAGTGATTTTGGGAAAAGGGAAATTTTGGTTATTGCGAGCAGATTATTCCATCGTGTTGATAATTTGGGGCCCTGAAAAGGGCCAGTTTAGTTATCAATTTTAGATGAGCAGAACCAGAAAATTACTTTTTTGCTGCTTTCCCAGACTTCGCTGCTGTTGCCTTGGTAGTTTTTGGTTTTGGCGTTTTGGTCTTCGCCGCCGGTGCTTTGGTAGCCTTCTTGGTCTTGGACAGACTTTTAGTCTGAGCGGCAGCCTTTTGTTTCGCGGCGGCTTCGACTTTCTTCGCTGCTGCAGTTTTGGCGGTCTTCTTTGGAGGTGCCGGCTTCTTCTCAGCCGTTGTCTTCTTACTGTCGGCCGCGGCTTTCTTAGGCGCGGGCGCTTTCTTCGTCACCTTCTTCTCGGCCGTCTTCTTGGTGTCAGAGGCAGGTTTCGGTGCAGCGCGCTTCACCTTGCTGGGCTTTCGAACGGTCTTGGTGTTCGTAGAGAGCTTGAAAGAGCCCGACGCGCCTTTCCCCTTGGTCTGCACCACCGCACCGGACGTAACCGCTGCCCGCAAGTAACGTTTGATGAAGGGAGCGAACTTCTCACCGTCGACTTTGTAAGTCGAGGCGATGTATTTCTTGATCGCCTGCACGGACGAACCCTTGCGTTCCTTCAGCTCCTTGATGGCAGACTTGACCATCTCCGACGTTGGCGGATGACTGGATTTCGGACGCTGCACCTTCGCTTTAGACTTCGCGCTCTTCTTCGCAGGCGTTGCAGAGGCTGCGTTTTCCGCAGCCGAAGCATTACCAGATGCGCTCTTATCTTCCATTGCGACGAGATATATGCGAGAGAATTGCAAATGCTCAACGAGAGTACAAACAAAACTTTCGTACTACACGCTCAGATGACGCTGTTCTCGAACATTGCCGAACTGGCCGCTCTGCGCGCTATTCATACCCACAGCGCGGACCACGGAGAGAGACCCTCCCGATGTTGCAGGTAACAAGCAGCTGGGAATGAAAGAGCGCTCGGCAATTGTTCGTTATTTAAACAATATTTTACATTATGAAGGTCGTTAGCTCGCAATTCAGAATTGTAGAAGCAAGTAGCTAGTTTCGTTTAGTATACATTTTAACGGCCCTCCTCGCGGTTATCATCGATTTTTACGCGGTTCCGTGCGACTCGAGCACGCGGTTCATTCGTGGAGCTCGATTCAATTCGAGAAATAAGTTAATAAACAATATAATTAATAATGCACGGCGCATTTATGTAGTTCATAAAACGTCGTGATAGCTGTGCTAACCGACCGCGAGTGTTTATCCCGAGCTCCCACACCAGATATGCGCTGAATATTCCAAGTTTCACGGGTGACAGAATACAAGCGTTAGCGCAACACAAAGTGAATACCGATTACAAAGTACATTTGCAGACAATTTTACTGAATAGTGTAAAATACCATGATCGATCGAGAGAAACGCAGATATAATTGGGTTGCGATATTATATGCATAATCGACAATTTCATTCGAAGAATATCGCATATTCGCGAAAACGGCCTCCTATAACGTGCCGATTGCCTCTAAGGTATAGCGTTAAATCTTACTGTTATAACGAACCATATAACAAGAGATAACGAAATAACACATAAGAGATTTGTATAGATGAAAAATAACGTTTGAAAAATATTGAACGGTGGTTACGCAATCATTTTCTTAAAATTTACAACAATCAGGCAATAATTTAGTATCATAAACTTCTGATTCTCGAACTATACGACTAAGGAAACATAAAAACTGTGTCGTAACCTAATAATATTTCCAAGCAATAAGTTCCACAGATGATACGAATATTTTTGTATCTTGAAACAGGAATCGATGACATACTCAAATTCTCGTTCATAGAAATTTCTAGAACAATTTTCTACGTCGAATTAATGTCCGTATGACGGACTCGAGCACTCTTTTACGCAGCGCGCTGATTAAGTCTCCTTGCGCACAACTGCGCATTACTTACAATTGTTAAGCAATTAATGTAATAGGCATATTTTATCATGTTTTGTATTCTTTTGTTGAATTTATACACAAAAAATCAATTATTCTAATTGTAAATTATACATATTTTTTACAATGTTGTCCATATTTTAACGGAATTGTATTCGTATAAGAAGCACTCGATCGAACTGAAACGCGCTCGGTCGTTTATATTTGTTTATAAAAAGTACAAACTTTATTATAGGATTTAGATGGGAAAATTTGTTTTAAACATAGATTAAAATGTGTTGCTAAATTATTTTTTTTTTCACTTTTTAAGACCATAGTTCTCATAGCAATAATAAAAGTTGCTTTATTACGTCTTTATAGTAAACTAGAGAATTGTGATATAATACGGAGAAGACGGCCATTCGCTGTAATGTCTTCAAGAATTGCTAAATACAGCATTTTTGTTTTAAAACTTTATGGCCATCTTTCTCGTATGAGAATTTTATCCGAATTTATTGTACCTGTATTATTTTTCTAAAACACGTTATTAGATTTTGCCTGTCTTATAATGTCATTTTGTAAAACTTTCTAAAGTAATTTTTAACTAGTAATATTTAACACTTATAATTAACATTTTATGATTAGTATACAACATATATGTATACATATTTATACAATTTGTTTAATTATTATTGCATTACTCTGTTAAAACATGTTTATCCTTTGCATAATTAGGCTTAATGAAATATATGCATAAAATGTTAATGTTACATTTGATATTTACAAATTTTCAATTGCATTTTGATTATTATACATACACATATTATATTTATTATATTTGAAAGTAGAAGCATATAATAAAAGAAATATTATACACCCATACATATACAGATACGAATACTTGACCGAAATCTGACATTAAAAATAAAATAATATTGAAAGCTGCATTTCATTGATTTTTGCTTTATAGGTTAGCGTGTAAGTATATGTTTAAAATAGTGTCATAATTTCTGCGACAACAATACTTACGGTGATTATGTAATATTAATTTCTTGGCATACTTACAGGTTTTAAGAACAATAACTTACACATTTTTAGTCCAAGTTTTATAATCTCTAGAAAAATGTACATGAAATTATGCTTATGTTAAACAACTACGTATTGCATTGTGATTGACATTTCATTTCGTTTATAAAAATACTTGTAAATTATTGTAAGATTTCTTATTTACCATTTAATTGATTAAAAAAAAAGAAATATATAATCGATATGCAATAACACAAAAGATACATCTTAATTAAAATATAAATACATTACTATTTCTCATGATTTTTTAAATAGGTTATGTATCTAAATGTAAATAAAATTAATCAATTAAAATTATTTTTTAATTGATTCATTTTTAACTCTTGAGTGTCCAATAACTTGTTTTATTACTGTATTTAAATATATTTTAATGCAATTGCAGTTTTAGGATATTTCTGTTGAAATTTTCATAAAATAAATAAATCAAATTTACAGCTAAGAAAAGAACTAAAGTATCTTAATATTGCGATACTTCTATACATAATAAATATATTTTTTTTAATATATCTGCATGGATCAAAACGTTTTATCATAACTAAAATATATGCATAATATAATATCCATAATAAATAAATTATAATAAAATATTTTCGATGTAGATAAAAAATATTTTATCTTAAAATTGTCATAAAATGTGATTTCATATTTCGCATTTGACATTTGACATTAAATATTATCCGTTTGCTGCTGTTATCTAATTAATATATGTAATTAATTTAAAAACTTCGCTTATAATACGCATACGTTGCAAACATATTTCATGTTAAAAATTTAATATAAGTAAACATGACTAAATATTTAAAAAAAGATTTAATAAAACGGTTGATTTAATAAATATTTTAATTTGATAGTTATTTATTTTTGAAGTTTGGAATGCGAGATTTAAATAATTAATTTTTATTCGTATAGAATTTCCCGCTACTTATTTAATTTAAAAGTAATTAAAGTTAATCTTATTATTCATATACAAATAGATATCCAAACGGAATTACATTTTCAAAGGTATCTGAATTGATATCAATCATACCTTGTGTCAAACATTAATTGCATCAAACATTGTAACATATATTATGTGTTGTTATCGTAGAGAACAATATTTTACTAAAATTTCAATTCCATTTAGAAAAGATACACAAAGATTACAAGTAAATATGTGCTACACAAAATGATTTTTATCATTTTTTTTTACACATTTTTTCCGTACGTGTAATATGTTTAAAGTTAATTCCTGTAATCTATGTTTATCATTGATTTATCATTATTATTATGTATGAAATGAGAGTGGAAAGCAATATGACACGTTTTTTTATATTTTTAACATGTTATACGAGGGATATTCTTTAGAAATATAGGTATTGTTAGAGAGAGAAACTGCTCTGAGTGCGCGACTGTACACCGAGTCTCCCCACCACTAGAGCAGTGGCCAATCATCGTCGAGCCGGCTGAGCCGGGGCTCTATAAAAGTACGCGTGAAGCAGCAGTCGACACTATTTCCTTCTGACGACCGTACGGGAACGTTGTGCCGCTCAGATTAGAAAATGGCTCGTACTAAGCAGACAGCACGCAAGTCTACCGGAGGCAAGGCTCCCCGAAAACAACTGGCGACCAAAGCCGCTCGTAAGAGCGCGCCTGCCACTGGCGGAGTGAAGAAGCCTCATCGTTATAGGCCCGGAACTGTGGCTCTTCGAGAAATTCGTCGCTACCAAAAGAGCACTGAATTGCTGATCCGTAAACTGCCGTTCCAACGTCTCGTCCGTGAGATTGCTCAGGACTTCAAAACGGATCTTCGTTTCCAAAGCTCGGCTGTTATGGCGTTGCAGGAGGCTAGCGAGGCTTATCTCGTTGGTCTGTTTGAAGACACCAATCTCTGCGCCATTCATGCTAAGCGAGTTACTATCATGCCTAAGGATATCCAACTGGCACGTCGTATTCGCGGAGAGCGTGCTTAATTAAAACAATTATATATCGGCCCTTTTTAGGGCCACCAATTTTTTATACGATGAATTATTTCTTTCGTTCATATTTCTGTTCCATTATTCTATTATATTCATTAAAACGTTAGAAACATTAATTTTTTGTGTTAAGTAATATAATGAATAGTCTTCAAATGTGAAATATGCTTTAGATATTCGAATTTAAATACTTGTTTTTAAAGATATTTTCGAAAAGTAAAGTAAAACTAGTCTTTTATTCCTACACGCTTAAATACTAGAAAAGCAGCTTTTACCAAATATCACAAAACATTTATTTACCTTACATCGATTCCAAATTCTGTGTACATTATTTGATATACAAAAATGTTATTCGTTTAAATTTTCTATCGACATCATCTGAAATCTGATATACATAATGTATGTCGTGAAAAAGTTGTCAATTATTGAAAAAAGTTTTAGTATGAATTATTTATTAAAGTACGCATAAATCAAATGTAAGAAAAAATTGTTTACATAATTTCAGTAAATTCGGATTTAAGAATTTGTAAGTTTCACAAATATAAAAACTGAATAATTCAGCTACCGAAAACATCCTAGTAGTGTTATGGAATGCACGCGACCGGGTGTATTTATTTCAAGCCGCACATGTCTCATAACAATTATATTCGTAGTGATCTGCTATTCTTGTAAATGACGCAAATAACTTAGAGAAATGTAAAGATTGAAACACACATACAAATAAATATGTGAAAAACCAACTTCGATAGTTTATTTTAATTCTCAAAAATATAACCTCAAAACAGAAATTTATACTCTACTTGGGCTAAAATAATTCATTAAATTCTTCACATGTTAAAAATATGATTTATATAAAAATAATTTTTTTATTGAATTACTACATCGCAGATAGTAAATATGTTCAAAGTAAAAAAAACGTCTTTCGAGTGATCGTGTATGTGTGTTTGTGGAATTTTATCCAATAATAAAAATATATTATTAAATTCAATTCAGTGTTTTCATGAAACAACTATAAATAAATATATATAAAGAAGCATCACATGATAATTAATAATTTTCAGCTTGTGTACTTTATGTAGATGCCGGTTTTAGAATGTTAAATTAAAAATTATCTTATAATTCTAATTGTATGTACGTATATAGAGAATTGTATTACGTATAAGAAAACTTTACGCTCCGCATTTTATATGGAACTTGATTGGGATTGACGTTCACTCCTAACCTCAAAAACTTTCACAAATTAATCTTTTAACTGTTTGATCTGCAATATTTTATTTATGTTCGATATGTATATTCTATGGAGTTTTGCGTAAATAATAATTTTACAATAATGTCAATCATAATATTACGTGTGCATTAGTCAATCTACATATTATGTATATAAAATTGCAAATATAAACGGAGAATCTCACATGAAGAGAACGAGACAAAAATATTTTTTTATATAATTTTAACACTATTAGCAGCAATAAAATAATTTCAATAGCAGCAATAGAATAAAAAATGATAATAAACTCGAAGTACTTAAATTATGGATATGCAGATTGCACATACTCTAAAAAAATTTGAATTTTTCTAGTTTTATATTTTCTAATTTTTAGAACTGAAAATAAGAAGCTACAAGATTTTATCAACATTAACAAATAACGGACAACTCAATTTGCACATATTGAAAATTTATTTAACAATTTAACCTTTCTGTGATTAAATTTTAATATTGCAAAGATATTAAGTATACATAGGTTACATTACACAGATTATAAAGCGTGTATAGATAGAATTTTATAGCGAGCAGAAATTATTCAACGTTCGAAATATTTGTGGCCCTGAAAAGGGCCGATTTGATTTGAGAGGGAGAAAGAGAGGTCACTGTCCCTCGCTTAACCACCAAAGCCGTATAGAGTTCTGCCTTGACGTTTCAGGGCGTAGACGACGTCCATGGCAGTTACGGTCTTCCTTTTCGCGTGTTCGGTGTAGGTTACAGCATCGCGAATAACGTTCTCGAGGAAGACCTTCAGCACACCACGAGTTTCCTCGTAGATCAAGCCGGAGATACGCTTGACGCCACCACGTCGAGCCAGACGACGGATAGCCGGCTTGGTGATACCCTGGATGTTATCGCGAAGAACTTTCCTGTGACGCTTCGCTCCTCCTTTTCCCAATCCCTTTCCTCCCTTACCGCGACCAGTCATCTTGAATCTCTATCGATACGAACTCGCTGACACAAAGACAGACTGACGATTGACGACGGGATCGCTCGTGCAGGCACCTTTATATACTGTTCCGACTTGGCGCTCCCCTCCACGTGTACGTCCGCCAATCGGAACGCTTGCCTGATTTCTCACACTCTCCTGTGCGCGCAATCGGTGAAAATAATGTCCGGCTATTTAGATTTAATATGCAACGTAAAAATGTACACATTTATGCATGCTTGATTCTGATAAATATTATGAGAATTTATGAAAAAAAGAATAAAGCGTGAGATGGAATGTATACCTATTTATGAGTGCCATTCAATGGCATACAAATCGAGTTTGTCTCTAACGATTATGCACAAATCTTGTCGACGGTTGCCTTTTGCACAATTCAGTGAATTATTTTGTTCTTGTTTAATGTTGACAAACAAGAATGTAATGATTCATTGTGTTACACTGAAATTGAGAGTCTTCGTGCGTCTTCATTGGGAAACGCCCCTTGTATCGGTGCATGAAACTGTCTAGTGAATTTACAATTCGAAAGCGTTCATCAGTGATGTAAGATAAGCTATGCGAGGATATTTAGATTTGTTGTTGAAATTAATACGCTAATATTTTAAACATTTCAATTATAATCAGCAGTAGAGAATAACGATGCCGTTGTATTTCTTGTCCATCTGGTAAAACACATTTATTACTTAATAATGAAGTCAAATCTCTTTCTCTTCTCTCTAATATATTATCGAACATAATCACGATATATTAATAAGTAAAATTAAAAGACTGGAGTTCAGGCATGCAGCATAATTAGATATTTCGTTAAGGAGTTGAGAAAAAAAATTATATCGAAGAGCACGAAGGGAAGAAAGACAGAATGCGAGTAACGCTTGGCAACACCGAGCGTCAACCAATAACGTGCGGCGTAGCCAGAGGAGCGCTGCTCGCACGTGATTGGTGCGCTGCAGGCGACACTTTTCGCTATATATACCGCGTTTTGCGAGCCGACGGTCATTCGAGCCTCGATCGTCGTGTCGTGTACGTCACGTTGGATTCGAAGTACGAAAACTTTCATTGAGAAGAGCGACAATGCCACCGAAAGCTAGCGGCAAAGCGGTGAAAAAAGCCGGCAAGGCTCAGAAGAACATCAGTAAAACTGATAAGAAGAAAAAGAGGAAGAGGAAGGAGAGTTATGCGATCTACATCTACAAGGTGTTGAAACAAGTCCATCCCGACACCGGAATCTCCAGTAAGGCGATGAGTATTATGAATAGCTTCGTGAACGATGTTTTCGAACGCATCGCAGCCGAGGCGTCTCGTCTGGCTCATTACAACAAACGTTCCACGATCACGTCTCGGGAGATTCAAACTGCCGTGAGGCTCCTTCTTCCCGGAGAATTGGCGAAGCACGCTGTCAGCGAAGGCACAAAGGCAGTCACCAAGTACACTAGTTCGAAGTGAACTGCTATTACAAAAACGGCCCTTTTCAGGGCCACCAAATGACTCGTTACATTGGATATTTTCTTTATGCTTGAAACAATTTTTTAATTTAATCCCATATATAATCTCTTAATTAAATTAAATTCCTTAAACTTAAACGATCATCATTCCAAAATTGTTCTTATATTTTATTTTCCTGCCATATCCTCACATTTTTCAATCTAATATTTGAATTGTTAAATAAACTTAAATGCAAATGTTAAATATATCGATTTGCAATTGCACGAAATAAAAACATTCATAAATTAAATTATGAAGGAAATAAAAAGTTGAATAATTCATATTGCCATGCGCTTTGTGTGAAATTGTGTTATATTACAAATTATAACTTTCTTATAAATTCACGTACTTTCATTATATTCATGTTTTATGAATGAAAAATTAGTCGAATTGTTTAGTAATAGACTATATACATAATTAGAATAGATTAGTAATATATGATATATTGATATACATAATTATGATTTGATTATATCGAAGATATTTTACATTAAAAATTGATTATTTTATTCTCTCTTAATGTTATTCTCTGAACGTTTTTAACAATTAATAAAATAATTTATATCAAAAAAGTAAGATAATTTTACATTATTTTTTTCATTGTTTTGTTAACCTTATTTATAAACTAATTTTGGTCATTTCGATATAAATCGATCGTCTGAATAAACCAGGTTGAAGGTTAAATACCGCTAAAAGTGCCCAATGTGAACTGAACCGAGTCATACGGATGTGTGTAAGTACTTATCGTTTAAAGAATGTGTAAACATCTCAAAACATACATTGTAAAATTTTTTAAAGTACATGTAAATGTTGCAGATAACTGCAGATTGTATTTACCTTAATTATATATAACGTAAGTATTATTAGCAATAAAATATATATAAAAGTTAGGTTAGGATTTCTATACCAGTATTTCAATCAGTATTCTTACTGTTTCTCGATATATTCCATTGCTTGTAAATTTGCTTGATAATAATCTTTGTAATATATTCACAGTCAAATAAAACGGAGGGATTTTCTACATCACGTCCAAAAATAGGAGGATCATAACCTCCTAAAATGTCCGACGACGAGGATTTGGTCTACGTTAAAAAGCAGAAAACTGTCCATTATGGTTCATTGGAGGAGGCAGAACGGGCACGACTTGCAGCTGTCGTCGAAACTGCGGATGAAGAAAAAGATGTCACAAATGCAAATGATGTCAGCAGCAATGTTTCTGCTTCAGCAGGAAATGTACATATTTCGAATGAGTACATGGAGCTCGAGGACGAAATGTCCAAAGATCGGCAGGCATTATTGGAAGAATTTGAACGTAGAAAAAAGGCTAGACAAATTAATGTTTCTACAGATGATTCCGAAGTAAAGAAACACTTAAGACAATTGGGTGAACCCATTTGTCTCTTTGGAGAAGGCCCAGCAGATAGAAGGACAAGATTAAGAGAATTATTAGCTAGCGTGGGAGAGGATGCTATTAAAAAGAAACACGAAGAAGAAGAAAAACCATCTCATCCAATCGAAAAGGATACAGAATCAACTTGGTATCACGAGGGACCAGATTCTTTGCAAATTGCACGATCGTGGATAGCAGGTAGGTTATACTTAAATCAGAAATTGCCAGAAAAATCATTAGATGGAAAAAATTTAGGACTTCATCAATGGAACAATCTGGCAAAAACTATAATAATAACTATTATGTAGTACTAAAAAATAGATTCGTAATACTTTATGCAGAAAATATTTTTGTTTTAATAAATCATACTAATCATGATGGTTTTAAAGAAAAACGAAGTAAACCAATAGTAATAAAATCTTATAATAAAATATTTTTTAACTTAAGTTAATGTGTAAAATACTTTTTCAAAACAAAAACTTTAGAGATAATAATGTAATTAGAGTTTATATTAATTTTTATTTTAATTATAGTTGTTCAAGATATATGTAGATAATGTTAACAAGTTTCCTAATATTTTGTGACAAGAAACTAAATTATTTGTTACATACATTTTTTAACGGATTTTACTTTGGATGAAGCTTAAATTGAAAAACACTTAATTGACACAAAACCAGAATAGTGATATTGAAATACTGAATAAGAATAGCAATAATAAAATTTTTTATTTATTTTATTGTTTTTAATAGAAAAGTTTCCAACAGTTTCTTTTTCTGGAAAATACTAGATTTTACTACTGTGACATAAGCTTAAAAAATGTATTCACCATAAATTAAATTCATATAAAAATGCAAATGTTAAAAATCTCTCCTTTTTAATACAAGCATTGTATTTAACTTTTATATATTTACAGCTTATTCGTTGCCCAGAGCAAAGGCACGACTGGATAAGGCAAGGCAAGATTTATTATTACCAGCTGCAACTCGCACAGCCAAAAGACAAGAACTTTTGAAAAAGTTGCAAGCATTGAGCATTTATTGCTCTCAAATCGGTGATAGGAGGCCTATTTCCTTTTGTCAGTTTAGCCCTAATTCAAAAATCCTTGCTACAGCTTCATGGTCAGGCTTATGCAAGTTATGGTCTGTACCTGACTGTACTTTGTTACGTACTTTACATGGACACAATTGTAATGTTGGCTGTATTGTTTTTCACCCAAAAGCTACAATAACCGAAGATGTGGTCGGTGATAATGCAGAAACAACTTGCGTGCTGGCATCGTGTGCAGCAGACGGTATGCAACCGATACATATTATTATAAATAAAACAAAATTTTATGATAATGTTATAAAATTTATATCTACATTTTATAATAGGTACTGTGAAACTGTGGGGTGGTGGCACTGGCGAAGAACCATTAGCAGAGGTGGAAGGACATGAACCTCACAGAGTTTCCAGGATAGCTTTCCATCCATCCGGACGATTTCTTGGTACATGTTGTTACGACGCATCTTGGCGATTATGGGATTTGGAACAACAAGCGGAAGTACTTCACCAAGAAGGTCATGCTAGAGCAGTATACTGTATTAGGTATATTTTTTCGCATATATTGTTTAATTAATTATATATCGATCTAAGTGAAAAAACTAATAAAGCTAATGAGAACCATTCGCTGTTATTAGTGCGATCAAATATAATTTTTAATAATAATACGATGAATACAATACTAAAACTATAGTTTTATATTAAAATTATAGTTTTATATTAAAAATTATATTTGATCGCACTAATAACAGCGAATTGTTCTCATTAGCCTTAATTTTTTCACTTAGATTTTTTCGAGAGTTAACTTTTTATTGATTTGATATATCGATCTATTTTTATTATGTATTACGTGTTCATTTAGTTTTCAATGTGATGGAAGCGTTTGCGCCACAGGCGGTCATGACTCTTTTGGCAGAGTATGGGATTTGCGTACCGGCAGATGTATAATGTTTATGGAGGGTCATCTAACATCCCTCTTTGGCATCGATTTCTCACCAAATGGTTTTCATATAGCGACAGCGAGCGAGGATAATACCTGCAAGATATGGGATTTGCGAAAGCGAACTTGTATATACACGATACCAGCACATACCAATTTGCTGTCCGACGTGAAGTACCAAAAAATAGAAGGACAATATTTGGTTACTGCATCTTATGATAACACAGCCAAAATTTGGTCCAACAAAACATGGCAGCCTCTTAAGATGTTACCAGGTCACGATGGAAAAGTCATGTCCGTTGATGTATCGCCCGATCATAAGTTTATTGCAACCAGTTCGTACGATAGAACTTTTAAATTATGGGCCCCAGAATAAAATATGTGAGAAAGTATTTCTTCTCAACAGTTATTTTAGAAATACTATAAAAATTCTTCTTGGTATTTCTTTAATAAAAATGTTGCATAAATTTATGAAATATTCATTGTAAAAAATATCTGGGTCCTTATTCTTGAAAAGAGATTATACGAGTGAGGGAGAGAGAGAAAAGGAGAGACAGAGACAGAGAGACTAATAGTACGCGTATACTCCAATATTTCCCTAGTTTTCCGTTTCTTTTCAAAAATAGGGACCTAATTTATTTATCATATATATTCCGATCTTATGGACGTAAATTATTATATTAATTTTACATTACGAATATGTAATTTTGTACAAATTTTTATAAAAATTAATTATCTGAAAATATGTTTTTTATATTAGAAATGTATTTCTTTTTTATTCGCTGATTATGTAGCTTATTTGCATTTCGAAATTTACAAGAATATTATTAACGTTCGCACAACGCGCGCGTTTCAGAAAAATATGTCTTCCGTGAAATAGGTTTTATAATCGCGTATAAACTTTTGACGTTATTTATAACTGGGGCAGCTGTTCGTTCAATAGGCGCTGTTGTGCCAACGTTTATATCGTTCTCGGCAAAGAGTCGCGAATCCGTTAAATGTAGGATCCTAACTCTCCTGCCTAGGTTTACCGAGTTGATTTCAAGATGAGTACTGGAAGAGAAGGACTTTGCTACTGTTACATTATTAACAAACTTTCGAAATTTTGGAAACGACAATACATCCTTTAGAACTTCTGTTATGAATCTGCATTCTACTGACAGAACTTCTTTTTAACACGTAACTTATCTATGTGATTGAAGTTTAGACTGTTTGGAGCGTTCGTGGAGCGAAAATTAAAAATAATTTATTTTATTTATTTGTATTCAAGTCTTGATATTATGTATATATACATATAGTGCATATTTTTCATATATGATAAAGAATAACATATTCTTTAAATTTATAATAATTAGTAATATTAATTTCCTAATATTTCATTGTTAAATATATTAAAAATTATACTTTTATAAGTCTATAGTTACAATTATTTTTAAACTGTTACTATGAAATATCGAGCTATTTTTACTCCATAAAAGCAAAAATTTTATATTTTATAAATATTTTATAAATATTTTCATTGTCAATTTTGTCGACTTACAAAATTACAATTTTAAATTTTAATTTAATACCTATACATATATTAAGAATGATTAAAAATAATAGTATTTTTCTTATTCTATCATGCTTGATTTCGATTTATACTTTCTCATGTTCGTTGTGTATTGTGCTATTCTTTCAAAAAAGTTCATTCGTAGTATTTTATTAAATGATATTCTAGGTAACCCGAGATCACACACACACATAGTTCGAAGCGATCGATTCATATTGATTCTGTGAGAGGTAAGGATTGATGAAGCCAAGTTCTGCTACCTCCTTCAGCGAAATCCGCAGCCGCGTGTCCATCACCTCTTAAAATCCATTTCGTCGTTAAAAGCCCATCCACTCCTACTGGACCACGTGCGTGGATACGTGTCGTGGAAATACCGACCTTCAAAAAATTATATATATGTATATATTATATATAAACAATGATTTTATTTATAGCTTATAAATTACAACACACACTTATATTCTTACACTTTTAAAAACATACATTATAATAATACATAAAACATATAATTGAACACGCTGTTTCAAGTAATATTATAAATGAAAAGTTTTTTTCGTTTTTTATGAAAATACTAGTTTTAGTCTTGGAAATTTTACCTCCGCTCCAAGACCGAATCTATAGCCATCTGCAAATCTAGTACTAGCATTATGGAAGACACATGCACTATCCACCTCTCTCTGGAAATGCGCCGCTGTGCTGGCGCGTTCGGTGACAATAACATCGGTATGGTTACTACCGTATTTATGAATATGGCTGATGGCGTCATCGACATCTGAAACCACCTCTATGGTGCATTCAAGTGCGCCATATTCGGTTCGCATGCTTTTGGCGGCAGGCGGACCAAAAGTCAATAGCTCTCTTAGTTTTGGACCGGAATTGATTTTTACCTGGAAAATATTATCGTTTTATACATTCAAACGAGACATTCGTAATAAAGTTAAAAATGTTAAGCAATAATATAAGTTCGATTATTGCCATCGACAGGAAAAGTTTTAATAAATTTTATTTAAAAAAAAATATAATGGAACGTTACATACATCAATACATTATACATATATATGGGACTAGAAAATTTTCTTCAATTTATGTTTCAAGAAAATATGTCAGGAAAGCCAATTTTTTCTACTCCGTCTTAAAAAAGTTAATATATGTCTTGGATCAGTACAAACTTGAGTACAAACTTTTGACATTTTGTGAAATCCCAATGAAAAGTTCTTAATAAAAGTTCTACTTACGAATTACGAACGTAAAATACATCAAATACTGTAGCATGATACGAAACAAGAAGTTAAGAAAAAAAAAAAGCTTCAGCCTTTGGATTTTTCGGAATTATTAATAGCATAAATTTTTTGATCCTCTTAAAAAATTAATTCCAAAAAATAAAAAACTAAGATGATATATACATTTACAATCATATATATATATTTTTTTCGGATACTCAATCTCGGAAAAAGCTGACTCACCCCTTCTTTATGCAACATGCTGCACACGTCACTAAAGAAGCTGCTGTTCATCAGACTTTCATGTATCAATAACGTCTCCATAGCATTGCACGCGGCAGGATAATCGCACTTGGAGTCTTTGATGATTCTCATAGCCTTCTCTACATCCGTGTCCTTATCAACATAAACGTGACAGATACCCTCGGCATGTCCTAAAACGGGTATGTGCTTAGACTGCCCCTGGATCGTGCGGACCAAGTCCGAGCTACCGCGGGGAATAATGAGATCTATGTGTTTTTCCATCGAGAGAAGATCGCCCACGTCTTCCCTCGTGGAGACGAGCGAAATAGCGTTCGAAGCGCTGAACTTCTCCAACGCCTCCTTTACAAGCATCATCAAATATTTGTTGCTGTGGGAGGCTTCCTTGCCACCTTTCAGGAGAAGTCCATTAGCGCTGGACATGGCCAGGGCGGCTACCTGGGGCAAGCTGTCCGGCCTCGATTCGAAGATCACCAACAGCACACCTATGGGCACCGTTATTTGCTCCAAATCTAAGCCATCAGCTAATCTAGTCCTACGAATTACGCGACCAACATTGTTTAACGAATCGTTCGCGATTTGATGCAGACCGTAACTTAAGGACTTGAGCTTTGCCGGGGTTAAAGACAAACGCGATAATAAAGCCTTTGCCAGATTCTTTTTGCTCGCGGCTTCCAAGTCCAGTGAATTTGCTGAGAGAATATCGGATTGTCTGGACTCGAGCAAACCTGCGAGGATCTTGATGCACTCGGCTCGTTCCTCCGGGCGTAACGCTTGTAGCACTCTACTGCCGATACGGGCTGAAATTTTATTCGCATTTATAAATACATATATGGTAAATACATACAGTTGTTCAAATATCGAGATAAGATAAATATAAAAGCATCACAAGTTAAAATCAGGATCGTTTAAATCGCGTTAAACTACCGTTTTATTCTCCAATTTATATATGTATAAGATTCTTAAATAGACACAAGATATCATAAAGTCAAAAGTTAAACTATATTACCATTTTCAGCGATCACCTCGACAGGTATGGACGAACCAGCAGCCTGAGTGAAGAACGTTCCGATTTTCCTGCCTGACATGATGCTCTTAATAGCCTTCTCCTGCGTACCATTGCAGATGACGACTGCCACACCACGATCCATTGCCCAGAGAGCGGCGTTGACCTTTGAGTCCATGCCGCCTGTGCCTACTTTCGACTTTTGTCCGAACTTGATAGTACCTCTTAGATCGGAGCTGAAGGTGTGCAACATCTTAGCCCCATCCTGCCAAGGAGGAAGATTATAGATACCGTCAACGTCACTCATAAGAACTAGCAAATCTGCTTGGACTTCGGCCGCCAGCATAGCCGCCAGGGAATCGTTGTCCTTAATGGATATTCCTCGTCTACCACCACCGCCAGCGACTTCCTCATCGACGTCTGGTGGCGGAGACACCGCGTCATTCGTGTTGATGATCGGCACGATGTTCAAGCTGATCAGTTCACTTAATGTGCTGAAGAGATTTTTCCGTGTCTCCTCGTTATAAAAGTCGGGCTTAGTTACAAGTACTTGAGCAATCTTGACTCCGTATTGGGCGAACATCGCGTCGTAGAGAGACATGAGACCTGATTGACCTACTGCGGCCGCTGCTCTAGGTTCCAACATGGTTCCTGCATGAATATATTATCAAAGATGTAAGTTACTCAACGTCTTTTAAAGTCTTACTTTAGGGATAATGCCGACAAGAAAGAGCATAACTAAACGATTGTTGGAATAATTAAACGCAACTTTGGAGAAACGTACCGTTACAACTGTCTAGTACAATTAGACGATTTTTTGAATAATTAAAAACAGATTTTATAGAAATGTTACTACGAAAGTGAGAAAACGAGTGAACTATTGACAAGACATTGAAGAAAATTGCTCTCGGACGTGCGCATCGATCGGAAGATGCACTCGACGAGATTCCTAGGACAAATAGAATCCCACAGGAATTCGTCGTAGTTTGGGTAGTTGTTAGCTCAATCTATATATATATATATATATATATAGAGAGAGAGAGAGAGAGAGAGAGATAGACCGGACATTGTCGACTTGGCGGGTTGCCTAGACAGGTATTCGAAACTACTATCGGAACATTAACACCTCCTGCCTGGGTATTCTTACAGACAGTTGAATTTATGGACAACGACTCGTTTTTCTTCTTTCTAAAAGAATCTTCAAATCGCCATTTATTATTTTAAAAAAGAAGCTCATTACCGTCTCTTGACGGTACAATTTATTATGAAGCTTCTCATGTTTTTTCATTGTACATATTTTAGATAGAATACACATGCGCTATTTTTCTCTAAGCTCTGTAATTCTTTAATGACTAGATGGAGATATTAAAGTATACATATAGCTCAAGGTTGATTCGCTCGTCTATCTCGTAAAAGTAT